GAGGGATTAGGAGTGCTGACCTCTGTGCAGTCAAAAATCCATGGATAACATTATATACAGCCCTCCATATCCGAAGTCCCACTGATTCAACCAACTGCAGAATGTGCAGTACTGTGGTACATAGCTATTGAAAAAAATCTGTGTATCAGTGGACCATCACAGTTCAACCCCTTGTTATTCGAGGGTCAACTCTACTTTTAATTTGCATTTCTCCTATTATGAGTGAGGCTGAGCATCTTTTTCTGGATTTAAGGGCCATTTGTACTTCATTTTCTGTGATCTATGGATTCGTATCCTGCTAAGTCACTGGAATTTTTTTTAATTGTCTTCTAACTGTTGTTTGAGCTTCCCAGGTGACACAAATGGTAAAGAACCCTCCTGCCAATACAGGAGACAAAGAGACATGGATTTGATCCCTGGATTGGGAAGATACCGTGGAGGAGGACATGGCAACCCACTCCAGTATTCTTGCCTGGAGAATCCCACGGACCAATGAGCCTGGCAGGTTACAAGGCTGCAAAGAATTGGTCATGCCTAATGCGACTTAGCACGCATGCATGCAGGCATTGTTCATACTATGAAGATATTTTATCCATGACATGAGTTTACCTTTGTCTCCAGTTCCATTTGTTTATTCTTTGTATTTGTGGGTTTTAGGCCAGGAGAAAATTTAGGATGTTTACATCAACAAAATTTCCAACTTACGGGCAAATGCTGGGCTGTGCCCCTTGGGATCACCTCATGGAGACTTCACATGGCCCTCTCTGGGACTGACGGTGCCTCTGTCCTCACTCTGTCCCCCTTCTGCTCATTCTCAGTATACCACAGTGACCCTCACACTGTGAGAGTTGTCAGTGGCCTAGAAACTCACTCTTTGCATTCTTCTCTGCTGAAGCCATCCCGGAAGTGAAAGAAAAATACTCTGGCTAAGCCCCATGCAGCACTTCCTGCCACAAGCCTGCTCTGGCTCCTGCTGCAGTGAGGACACAACTCACATCTCTTCCCTCTCCACCCACAAAGCCCACAAAGGCCCCACTGATGCCTCCAAACAAGTCTCAGTACAATTTCCCCTGCCACCCTGTCCTCAGGAACACTGTGACCTTACCCAGCTCCTCAGTCTTTGCCTGGGCTGTTCTGCTAGGACTCTCCACGCCTCCGGATCACTGGTTAATCCTACTTGTCCTTGGGTTTCAGTATATCAGAGTCACTTCCTCCAGGAAACCCTCCCAGACTCAGCGTCTCCTAGAAGCCTGGCACCGAGGGCCACTGAAACCCTGACTGGATACTCATTTATTTTCATCTTCCGTCTTGACTCTACCAGGCAGAGACTGGATCTGCGCTGTACCCTGCTGTGTGTCCCCAATGCTCTGTACACCGGATGTGCCCAGTAAGTGTCTGTGGGTAACTCAGTTGAAGTCAACAAAATATGTACCAAAACCACTTTGTGCCACAGCTCGAGATGGGATTACAGAGATGAAGGTGAAGTGCTGGTTACTCAGTCGTGTCTGACTCTTTGGGACAGTAGCCCACCAGGCTCCTCTTCCCGTGGACTTCTCCAGGCAAGAATACTGGAGTGGTTCTCCAGATCTTCCAGATCCAGGGATCAAACCCTGGTCTCCTGTATTGCAGGGAGATTCTTTACCATCTGAGCCACCAGGGGAGCACAGAGATGAAAAGGTGCTCTAAAATTTACCCCATGTCCTTCAATAAAAAATAAATAAATTTAAAAAAATAAAATGTATCCCAAAGCTCAACTTTCTGGGGTTTGTATCCTACTAAGAGCACTGCCCTGGCCTCCTGCCTCCTCCACATGACAGCCTCAGGTGTGTTAAAAAAAAAAACCCCAATCAGACCTGGCTCTGTGAGCTGACTCTTGCTGGCTGCCAGACCATCCCCCTCCCTCCCCACTGCATCCAGTCAAGCCCTCTGAGCCTTAAATAGCTCTACTCACTCTCACCTCTGGGTCTCTGCCCCTGTGGTGTTCACCAGGAGTGTCTTTGTCTTGCTTCACATCCTGCTTCATCCATCAGGTTCTTTACACCGAACGCGCCCCTGCCTGTCCCCCAAGCTCCCCGCCCTTCATCCCCGCCCTTCAGCCTCAGCCTGAGCCTGTCCCATCATCTTGGTTTTCTTGGTTATCCATAATGATTAATTGCCTCCCTGCCAGACCAGACAGCGAGGTGACCCAGTCTGTCTGGTTTTCACAGACTCTAGGGCTGGGCTTGGGGCATGGAGCACAAAATGGGACCGCCATACCTTCCAGGGTCTCATTGGAAAAATACTGTAAAGGAGAACTTCACTTTTGTTTGGGGCAACTTCCCTGCCTCCTTCCTGGGCAGATCCAGCCCAGTTCCCTTCCTTAGGTGTGAAATCAGTTCCTCTGGGTGACCCCCCACCCCACACACGCCACAAATGGGTAAACTGAGGCCGGAGGAAGCCGCACAGAGTCTGAGACCCCTTCGGGGTGACCTGGGCCCTTCTCTCCGCTGTCACTGCTTCCCTGAGGTCCAGGGTCTTCAGCAGCCTGAGGAGCACGGCTGCTGCGGAGGCTTCCGGGACTTTCTGCCCCTCCCCGGCCCCCACAGGGCCATGACTTTCGGTAAGTGACAGCCGCTCAGGAAGCCGAGGGGCCCACACAGGAAGGAGCGAGTGGGACTTTCCTCCGGCTGCTGCCCGGCTCTGCCCTCCCGTCGCTGTCCGGGGCCGTCACCTCCAGGTAAGAGCTGCTGGAGCTACTGGGCTCGGGTCGGAGGTGGGGGTAGGGGGAGGCTCTGTGGACGGCCGCCGCTGGAGACAAAGGCAAGTGTGCCTTCTAGGTCTCAGAGAAAAGCCTTCTGGCATAACCTGGGACAGCTGGCGGTGCGGCCTCCGGCAAAGGACTTCCCCTCTGGGCTTCAACTCCGTCCGGAGCACGAGGCCTCGAATTCCCAGCTTCCCGGACCCGAAGGAGTCCTTGCGCATGCGCCCAGGGCTCCAATCTCTGGGGACACACTTCGCGACTCCTATGTTCCAGGTTCCCAGGCCCGAGCACTGGGTGACCAACAAACCTTCCCTTCTGGGCATGTGGGACTTTTGATGTTAAAACAGGGACGTTTCTCTGGGCGCCAAATAGACTTCCTATTCGATATTTTAAAAATATCGAATTCTTTTTCGAATTTTCTTCCTTTACTTTCGATATTTAAAAAATCATGTTTTTAAAGATTTATTTTAAACAAAAGACACTGCTTTGTGATTCCATTTACATAAAGGTGCAAAGATCAGGGCGACTGTTAGAAATAAGAAGTGAGAAGTGACAGAGTAGGGTGGGGTGGGGAAAGTTCCAGTTCCTGGTCTGGGAGCTGGTAACACTGGAGTGTCCCTAGGGGAAAGTTTCCTCTTCCCTAGTACTACCTCCCTGAAGGTAAGCCTCAAACCACTGTCCTAAGGGACCTTCCCGTCTGGTTTGGCTGACATTTGTCAAGTGGTTGCTGAGTATGTCACCAAGGGTTTGTATCATTTAGTGGGGATTAAATGTGTTGATTGGAGAAAGCAATGGCACTCCACTCCAGTACTCTTGCCTGGAAAATCCCATGGGTGGCGGAGCCTGGTAGGCTGCAGTCTATGGGGCCGCACAGAGTCAGACACAACTGAAGCGCCTTAGCGGCAGCAGCAAATGTCTTAATGGGCTTTCCTGGTGGCTCAGAAGGTAAAGAATCTGCCTGCAATGCAGGAGAACTGGGTTCAATCCTTCGGTTCGGAAGATTCCCCTGGAGAAGGGAATGGCTACCCATTCCAGTATTTTTGCTGGAGAATTCCATGGACTGAGGAGCCTGGTGGAGTCCATGGGGTCGTGAGAGTCAGACACAACTGAGTGGCCAATACTGTCACTTTTAAACGTGTTGACAGGTCGGGCTGGACTCAGTAAACTACCTCACTGAAGCAGGTGGGAGTCAGCACATTTCATAGCTGAGAAAACTGTGTCCCAACTGTGGGAGCCCTGCTGGAGTCACAAAGCCAGGATATGGTGGGGCTGGGATTTGAACCCACAGCCTGAGGTTTTCACCGATCCCCAGTCCCAGGCTTATATTCCGAGTGTGTTAAAATCTCATTAACACTCTCCACCCACTCCCACTATTATTGTGAAACATAGTTTTTGTTGTTGTTTGTTTTTTGTTTTACACTTTTTGGCCACATCCAGCGGCATGTGGAATCTTAGTTCTCCCACCAGGGATCAAACACACATCCCCTGCATTGGAAGCGCAGTCTTCACCACTGGACTGCCAGGGAAGTCCCTGGAACATAGTTTTTACCAATATTCTCTTTGTATCTTCTTCATTTGGGTCAATTTATGTAGATCTTCTTCGTCTTCCTCCTTTTCCTCATGGCATGTGAAACCCAATTCCTTCCTCTACTCAGCCCAGGGTCCTGAGCTCTGGGTCCCCCAGGGAGAGAGAGATCTGGAAGGTGACTGGTGTAGAACTGGAAATCATGTGGGTGGTTTCCTCCTGGACCTAACCTGGGGAGAACTTCCTACTCTGGGGAACTAATGGAACAGAGATACAGGGATCAGAGGAGACAGAGGCAGAGATCTCTGTTGATTGACTCTGATGATGACTGAGTCTGATGTCTGGATCAGCCCCCAAGGCATGCATTAGGTGAAGTCGTGTCTGACTCTTTGTGACCCCATGGACCAGGCTTCTCCGTCCATGGGATCTTCCAGGCAAGAGTACTGGAGTGGGTTGCCATTCCAACTGCAAAAGCTTCTTTCCCCAGCCTCAGAAGTGCTAGAATCCTCCAGCTTCACAAGGAGGGATGGCCACTTCTATTTCCTTAAATACCCATGTGCACAGGCCAATGGGCTTCATAGGTGGCACTGGCCAGTGAAGAAACTGCAGGAGTCCTGAGTTCAATCCACATGCCAGGAATATCCCCTGGAGGAGGGAATCGCAACCCCCTCCAGTGTTCTTGCCTGAAGAATCCCATGGACAGAAGAGCCTGGAGGGCTACAGTTCATGGGGTCGCAAAGAATCAGTCATAACTGAGCATGCACACTTGCCCAGGCCAATAACTATCTGCTTGCTGGTTAGCAAATCCTTGTATCTGTGATTGATTGATTGATCATGCCTGTCTGGAGAAAGGATTGGAGAGTGGGTATGTGTGGAGGCTGGAGGTTGACTAGAGATGTTTGCCCTGGGCACCAAGAGTCTGAAGGGTGAGTTCACACGAATTTGTGTGAATGTCTTCCAGCTTCCCAGCACAGCCCTCGCCGGGGGTGGTATGGCTCCTCACCCACCTTGCACACTCAGCTCCCTCTCTCTGCCTCTGCCCATGTCTGTCCTTCTCTTTCTGTCCCTCTCTCCTCCTTATTTCTCTGGTTTCATCCCTACCTCACTCAGTTGTATTTCTTTCACCCACCCCACTCCTACCTCAGAAGGTCTGCAACCTTGTCCTGTCATCGCAACTGAGGGGCGACCTTTTTCTGTGTTCAGGCAGGCTGCGCTCATGGCACCTCCAAGTGAGGAGACACCCCTGATTTCTCAGCGCTCCTGCAGTCTTTCCTCTTCCGAGGCTGGTGCCCTGCACGTGCTGTTGCCCCCTCGGGGCCCTGGACCCCCACAGTGCCTGTCCTTCTCCTTTGGGGACCACTCAGCTGAAGACCTGTGTGTTTGCGCTGCTAAGGCCAGTGGTAAGTGCGTCCCAAGAAGGCTTGATCAGAAGGAGGGTTAGGGTTGTGTGGAACACAGATTGGGAGCTGGAATAGCTGCCAAGCAGAGTCAGCATTGGATCTGGGGCTTTGAGGGATGAGTAGGAGTTTGGTAAGGGAGGAGGGTGCACACGGAATGGCATGTGCGTAGACTCAGAGGCATGATAGTCTATTAGAAGAAACAGATGGTCATCCCTCGAGGTAAACTGTTAAGCGGAAAGCGATGCCCTGGAGAGAGAGGCAGGGAGCCCTGAGAAGCAGGCTGAGTCCATGGCTTTTCTCCTCAGGGCACTAAGGAGCCCTGGAATGGGTGCACGCAGGGGTGGGACATGATGTCAGAGCTGAAAGTGAGAAAGCGCCGGTGGGGCTGCATGAGGATAACTTGGCAGGCCTGCAGGGGACAGATGGGGAGATTTGAGAGGGAACTGACTCGAGTGTCCCCTCAGGCATCCTGCCGGTGTACCACTCCCTCTTTGCTCTGGCTTTGGAAGACCTTTCCTGCTGGTTCCCCCCGAGCCACATCTTCTCCGTGGAGGACACGGGTACCCAGGTCCTTGTCTACAGGCTCCGGTAGGAAGTGTCTCCCCCCCACCCCCGTAAATGTGGGTTAAATGATACCGGGAGGGCATGCCTTTTGCTGAGGGCTTGGGAAATGGGAGTTTAAAACCACAGAAACCCTTGGATCATCATCTCCCTGCACCTCCTGGTGGGTGCCTCAGGGAGGGCATGAGCATTGCTCATTTCACATATGAGAAGACTAATGTCAGAGAGGGTGGTTCACTTGTCCAACATCACACAGCAAGTCAAGGGTATAACCTGGGTTCTGTGAGGTCTTGGCACAGTCCCCCCCTCATCATATCCCCTACTCCAGGGTTCTCCCCTCCCCCACAGCTTTTATTTTCCCAACTGGTTTGGACTAGAGAAGTGCCACCGATATGGGCTACGAAAGGACTTGGCCAGTGCCATCTTGGATCTGCCAGTCCTGGAGCACCTCTTTGCTCAGGTAGGTGTCTGCGTGGGGATCAGTTCAGGGGTGGGGGTACAGAGGGCAATGTCAGGGCTCATGTTTGGGCAGCTTTGGCTGACTCTCCTGTGAGTAGGGCTGAGCGAGGATTTGGGAATGAATTGGGCGGTATGAAGAGCGAGGGGCTAGCTGGGTGGGCGGGGCTCAGAGTGGCAGCCCCAGGGTGGAGGTCGGCCCAGGGTTGGGGGGTCTATTGACCACATCAGGGCTCATGATCGGGCTGTGACTGGCTCCTAGCACCGCCATGACCTGGTGAGCGGCCGCCTCTCGGTAGGCCTCAGCCTCAAGGAACAGGGTGAGTGCCTCAGCTTGGCTGTTCTGGACCTGGCCCGGATGGCCCTCGAGCAGGCTCAGCGGCCCGAGGAGTTGCTGAAGACGGTCAGGTGAGGGCTTCCAGGCTGTGGCGCCCAGCCTCTACCTGGGAGCGAGCCAANGCTGAACGGGGGTCAAGGGGAGGGCAGGGTCGTGGGCGGGGATTGGGGGCGGGGCCGAGGGAGAGGCGGGACAGTGAGGGGTCTCGGGACGGAGGAGTGAGGTGTGGGTGGGGCTGAGCGAGGAAGCGGGAATGAAAAGGGCGGCACGTAGAGGGAGGGGCTAGTGGGTGTGCGGGGCTCGGAATGGGGCTAACGGCAGGTGGAGCGAAGAGGCAGGCCTGGGGCTGGGCGAGGCTCCCGGCTGGACTGAGACACCCGGAGAGAAAGGGGAGTTAAGTGAGGGCGGGACCTGGGGCGGGGTTGGGGACCGGCCGAGGGAAGGACTCGGGGTTTGCAGGGGTGAGGGGGCGGATATTTGGGGTGAGCAGGGGAGGGAGTTGAGAGGGATGGTGTGGACAGAAGGAGGAAGGGCTTGGTGGGGGCTTGACTGGAGAGGGATGGGACTCGGTGAGGCTGGGAGGAGCGGGCCTCATGAGTATGGACTGGTGGGGTCCCGGCTTCCAAAAAGGACTAGGTGCGCGGAGGGGGCGGGACCCCCAGCTTCAGCCCTCCCGCTTCTTCACAGGTCCTCCAGCCCTTCTGCGACTTTCCAGAAATCGTGGATATCAGCATCAAGCAGGCGCCGTGCATTGGCCCGGCTGCGGAGCATCGCCTGGTCACCATCACCAGGACAGACAATCAGATCCTGGTGGGTGCTGGAACCCCCTCCCTTCCTACCTCCTCCGTTCCTGACGGCGGGGCCCCGGGATTGTCACCCTCGGACCGCGGCGGGCCCTGACACCGGTCCTCACAGGAGGCCGAGTTCCCGGGGCTTCCCGCAGCGCTGTCCTTCGTGGCGCTCGTGGATGGCTACTTCCGGCTGACCACGGACTCGCGGCACTACTTCTGCAAGGAGGTGGCGCCGCCGCGGCTGCTGGAGGAGGTGGCTGAGCAGTGCCACGGCCCCATCACGTAAGGACTCACTGGGGACCAAGTCTCGGGCACTCCCCTTCTCGGTGCCTCCGTGTCCTTGCCTCTCACGAGCCCTTCAACAGCACCAGGCGCAAAGCTGGCGCTCAGTGAGTCTGCAGTCTCATTTCTGCAGCCGCTTCCCTCCCTTTGGCTCCTTGAGGCCCCAGGGCCATTTCCTGGGGATGCTGGAGGTGCCCAGGTGTGGGGCTTCGCCTGCGGTTTCCTCTTTAATCCCCTAGGCAGAAGCCCAGCTTTCGGTTCACTTTACACATGGGAGGGAGTGAGGGAATGTTACCTGGTGAGGTTCCCAGGGCTTCAGAGAGACCAAGATTAGAGCTCAGGTTTAGTTTGGTTTCTCTGCCTCCATCTGTTTCTCACCATCTTCGACTCTCAATTCTCTTCCACCTTTCCCCACAGCCTGGATTTTGCCATCAACAAACTCAAGACTGGGGGCTCGCTTCCCGGCTCCTACGTCCTCCGCCGCAGTCCCCAGGATTTCGACAGCTACCTCCTAACTGTTTGTGTCCTGGTCAGTCTACCTGCAGGGGCCAGGAGGGCAAGGAGGGCTTCCTGGAGGAGATGATATTTGAGCTGAGAACTGAAATATGAGTCAGCGTGGCTTCCTGAAGAAAGGGAGGGAAAAGGCATTCCCAGTGGAGGGAACAGAATATGCAAAGACTTGGAGATTTGAGGGGAAGAGTGCCGCCCACTTCCACTCAGAGACCACTCACTCCTCTTTGCAGACCCCCCTGGGCCCGGATTATAAGGGCTGCCTCATCCGGTGCGACCCCACAGGAACCTTCTCCCTGGCTGGCCTTGGCCGTCCCCACAGCAGTCTTCGCGAGCTCCTGGCAGCCTGTTGGAACGGTGGGTTGCACGTGGATGGGGTTGAGCTGTACCTTACCTTCTGCTGCAACCCCAGACCTAAAGGTGAGCCTGCCTTCCCCCCGAGCTGAGTAGGCAATCTGGGACCCTGCCTTTCTGTGATCTGTTCCAGCTCTTGAGTGGCAAGTGACAAAGACTGCTGGTCAAAGTAGTCTAGGAGGGAAAAAAGGTGATCTAGGGCTTGTGGGATAGAGACTGCTTCCAGGGAGGGCTGAATCCAGGCACAGCTGGATCTGAGTGATGTCACGAGCACTTAGCCTCTGTTCATCTCTTGCCTCTTGCTCTGGGTGAATTTTGCTCTCAGACAGACCCCTGGGATGGGACAGCTTTAAGGTGTGAGTTCTCCAGATTTTCCCAGAATCCCTAGTAGGACTTGAGACCAGGCTGCCCACAGCATGACCTGCTCATTTATACCACCCGCAGAGTTCCTTCCATCTTGTTCTTATTCTCCCTCCCCTCACTGGGACTTCCTGGAGTTTCCTTTCAAATAAGCCATGTGCCCTGGAACCCTCATCTTAGACCTGGCTTCTGCAGAAGACCCCACGCTGAGACAGTTTTCGTATTTGTCACTCAGTTGTGTCTGGCTCTTTGTGACTCCATGGACTGTAGCCCACCAGGCTTCTCTGTCCATTCTCCAGGCAAGAATACTGGAATGGGTTGCCATTCCCTTCTCCAGGGGATCTTCCTGACCCAGAGATCAAACCCAGATCTCCCTCATTGCAGGCAGACTCTTTATCATCTGAGCCACCAAGGACGTCCCCACACTGAGACAGGGAGTGAGCAATCCTTTGAGGACCTTTCACCTTTGACCTCTAGTTTTCTTCCTCTTTCCACTCCCCATAGAAAAGTCCAATCTGATTGTGGTCCGGAGAGGCTGCAACCCACCCACATCATCCCCTGTTCAGCCCCAATTCCAATGCCAGCTGAGTCAGATGACGTTTCACAAGATCCCTGCTGACAGCCTGCAGTGGGTAAGGGGCCCCAGGAAATGGGGGAAACATGCTTCAGTTGGGATCCAGAGAGCAGGTCTGCATCCATCTCTGCTGTGTGGCCTCAGTCATGTGATATAATCTCTTTGTGCCTCTGTTTCATCATCTGTAAAATTGATCCTTTACCTATGCCTTGCTTGGGCCAGAGCTAAGGGACAGGATCCCATGGGAGCCCTGTTACTGGCCTTTCATGTTGCCTCCTCACTCTCCAGCATGAGAACCTAGGTCACGGGTCCTTCACCAAGATTTATCGGGGCTGTCACCATGAGATTGTGGATGGGGAGGCCCGAGAGACAGAGGTGCTGCTCAAAGTGATGGATGCCAAGCACAAGAATTGCATGGAGGTGAGCAGGGTGGGACCAGACCGTCTGGGTTAGGGCCTAGCTGGAGAGGGGGTTGTGGATTCAGAGAAATTTAAAAACACACAGGGTCAGACTTCCCTGGTGGTCCAGTGGTTAAGGCTCCACGCTCCCACAGTAGCAGGTGCAAGTTCAGTCTCTGATTGGGGAGGATCCTGCATGCTTCTATGAAACACAAAAAAAAAAAAAAAAAAAAAAAAAAAACACCCAGAAAAGAAACCCAAAACCGAAACAAAGAGAACACACACAGGGTCTTAAAATAGCAGAAATGTAGCCACAGCATCTCCATGAAATATAGAAGGGTGAAGAATTTAGATGCAAACAGGTGGAGTATACCAGACAGAGGGAACTGCCAGTGCAAAGGTCCTGAGGCAGGGCCAAGTGTGGCATGTTTAAGGAATAGCAAGGAGAACAGTGGGTCGGAGAGGAATGAGCAAAGGAAAAGAGAGGAATGATGTGGGTGGAGGCATCTTCAGGGGCTGGACAACACAGAGGAAGGTTTGAACCAGAAGGTGAGTGACTCAAGGTAGACTACAGTGGGGACTTCCTGCCTCCATCAAAAAAATCATGACACGGAGTGCTGTGTGCATTAATGGTGGACTCCAAGGCCAAAGGAAGCTGGCGGCCAGGTCTCCCGAGGCAAGTTTGTGAGCAGCAAGTTTGGGGTTCTTTGGTCTGACCCATGAGTGGAAGAAACCCATACATGTTCTCTCCATTCTTTCCTCCCCAGTCATTCCTGGAAGCAGCAAGCTTGATGAGCCAAGTGTCATACCAGCATCTCATATTGCTCCATGGCGTGTGCATGGCTGGAGACAGTGAGAGACACTCCCCATCTCTGCCCTGCCTCACTGAGCCCACCTACAGCAGCAATGCAGTACACACTCAGAGCCTGCCCTGGCTGGGGCTCCATTCCACCAGGGTCTATCATCCTGTACTCATGTCCCTCCATCATAACTCTTTGAATAAGCAGCTCCAGGCTCCCACCAATACTTAAGCCCCCAGAATTATCTCAAGTCAGGCAGACGTGGGTTCTGATCTATTGTGTGCCATCTCTGCAGCTTTGCAAGGTCCACGCTGCCTCTCCAAGCCGTGTCTCCATCAGCTCAGCTCAGCAGCTGTTTACTGGGAGCCCAACATGTGCCAGGAGCTTGGTGCATAGCATAGAACAGGACAGGCTGAGCAGGATGATAAACAATTGTGTGTGGTGGGGCAGCACAGATCATTGTGGGTGGTCAGAGGCTGCTAACCTCTGGAGGTCAAGCAGTGATTCTGAGTAGGTAAGGATACATTCTAAGCTGGAAAGGCAAGAATAAATAGACATTGGGGAAGTGAGAGAAGAGGGGTGTTCCAGTCAGAAACACAGATCTTGCAGAGGGTTGGGAGTGAGTCATGGAGAGAGCGCGACACCTTCCAGGCATTAGAGGCAAATGGTTCTGAGATGGGAAGTGGGGAAGCAGAGAGGTGAGCTGGGTAAGGATGGAGGAATGGGGGAGGGAGATGTCAGAGCTGAGAGTTCAAGCGACCTTTGAAACTGGGGTTGGGGACAGAGCCTGTTGAATACAATACAGTCCTACCTCCCAACCCTGCCCCTTCTTACTTCCACCAGGTATCATGGTTCAGGAATTTGTACGCCTGGGAGCGCTGGACACGTATCTACGCAAGTGTGGCCACCTAGTGCCAGCCAGCTGGAAGCTACAGGTGATCAAACAGCTGGCCTATGCCCTCAACTACCTGGTGAGTGCTCCTCCGCCTGCTCCATCCTCCATTCACAGAGTGGGCGGGGCTTGGAGAGTGGGTTCTGTTGTATGGATAGGAGTTTGGCAAGGGTGGAGGGCATTTGAGACTGAGGGAACAGCGTACATACAGGCTCAGAGGTGTAAGAGCAGGAGACAGCTGATCATTCATGGAAGTTGAGGGGACTGGTGAGCAACGAGGCTGGCCCCGGGGGGAGACTTCCCCAGAAGAAAGAACAGTGAAGTTGGGGTCTTGGAGATTGAGTAGAAGTTCATTAAGAAAAAAAAGGAAGGAAAGCATGTCAGGCTGAGAGAAAAGCCTGGGCAAAGGCTGCAGCTTAGAAGATGTGTTGCTTGTCCAGGGGTGTATCAGGTCTGTTCTCCTGGCAGGAGACCAGAGTGGGGATGTGGGAGAGAGAAGCCCATGGGAAGAGTGGCCAAGAGTTGGATTTCAAAGGGCCTTGAGTGCCAGTCTGAGGACCTTTGACTTTATCCTGAAGGGAGTAAGGAGCCATGGGATGAAGGAGCAGTGTTCAAGAAGAGGAGGGACACAGGAGGTGTGTTGCCAGTAGTCTAGGAAAGATGTTGAAGTGTGGTCTGAGCAGTACCGGGTGGGCTTTGAAGGATGTGTAGGAGTTCGCCAGCCAGCACATTCATTCACCCCCACCCCAACCCCCGGTGCTTCCCTGTGCTCGGACTGCTCAGGAGGACAAAGGTCTCCGTCACGGCAACGTCTCAGCCCGGAAGGTGCTCTTGGCTCGTGAGGGGGCTGATGGGAACCTGCCTTTCATCAAGCTGAGTGACCCGGGTGTCAGCCCCACTGTGCTGAGCCTGGAGAGTAAGTGCTGAGCGGTGAAGGAGGGAGGGACCTAGAGGGGCGAGAAAGTGGATCCCTGACCCCCGCTTGCCTCCTGCACCAGTGCTCACCGACAGGATCCCCTGGGTGGCTCCTGAATGCCTCCAGGAAGCCCGGACGCTTGGCTTGGAGGCTGACAAGTGGGGCTTTGGAGCCACAGTCTGGGAGGTCTTCAGTGGCGTCACCGTGCCCATCAGTGCCCTGGAGCCTGCCAAGGTCAGAGCGCCACCATCGGCTTCCAGAGCTCTCATTTGACCGAAGGGTAGAATGAAGCCCAGCTTGGGGAGGATGGACGGGTCTCGGGGGGTACCTCTGAGGGTTCACTGGGGGTAACGAACCCTTCATCCTGCCTTTAGAAGCTCCAGTTTTACCAGGAACGGCAGCAGTTGCCTGCCCCAAAGTGGATGGAGCTGGCCCTGCTGATCCAACAGTGCATGGCCTATGAGCCAGGCCAGAGGCCTTCTTTCCGCGCTGTCATCCGTGACCTGAACAGCCTCATCACTTCAGGTGCCCACTGGGGCTAGGCAGGGTGGGCAGGGCTGGGATGTTATATTGGACCCCGTAGAAGAGTGAGATTTGTATGTGGAGCCTGCCCTGCGTGCTAGGCAAGGTTGGGCTGATCGATGACCTACAGTCAGTATGAGCTTCAACAGCTGTTGTAACAAACAAGCCCTTCAGTTCAAGGTCACACATGATGGATGTGTAGTTCTCAGTCCATGAGTGTATCCAAGTCAGCAAGAAACTCTCTCTTTGTGCTTCCACCCATCCTATGGCCTTAGGCCCCTATTGGATCCTCTGCAAACAGGAGAGAGAGTATAGCAGGTCCCACTCTAGGTTTTCATGGGCCAGGCCTAAAGGAGCTTCCAGTGCGTCTCTCTCCCCTATCACCCCATGGTAGTGAAGTCTGGGAAGTGCCTTTCTGTCTGTGTTCAGCAATGTACACTGCATAAGAGGGCTGCCTTTGCCAAGAGGCACCTTTTCCCAGCCCTACAAAACACCTCTTGGCTTGCAGTGGCTCTGCCACCATGCACAGAGAGGGTGAGCATTCAGATGGAGGTCACGCAGCAAGTTAGCTTAGGAGCGGGGGCCCAGGGCCCAGTACACTGCTCACTCACTGCCTCTGCCCCCCAGATTATGAGCTCCTCTCAGACCCCACACCTGGCACCCTGGCGCCCCGTGATGGGCTCTGGAATGGCACCCAGCTCTATGCGTGCCAGGACCCTACCATCTTTGAGGAGAGACACCTCAAGTACATCTCACAGCTGGGCAAGGTGAGGTGGGTTAGGCTGGGGTGGGCGGGGTAGCACTCATGCGTGTGGACACCAGCCCCGTTGTCCCCCAGGGCAACTTCGGCAGCGTGGAGCTGTGCCGCTATGACCCGCTGGGCGACAACACAGGGGCCCTGGTGGCCGTAAAGCAGCTGCAGCACAGCGGGCCAGAACAACAGCGGGACTTCCAGCGGGAGATCCAGATCCTCAAAGCCCTCCACAGCGACTTCATCGTCAGGTACCGGGGTGTCAGCTATGGCCCAGGTGAGCCGCTCTCCAGCCACACGCCCTCATCCTGCACGGCCACTTCAGGTGGTCTCAGAACGCCAGCAGGCGCACCACCGACTGATCTTGTTTATCCAGATCTGCCTTGTTGGTTTAGTCGCTCAGTCTTGTCCGACTCATTTGTGACCCCCGTCCTGGACGGAACCCCCCACCCCCCCCAGGCTCCTCTGTCCGGGGGATTCTCCAGGCAAGAATACCGGAGTGGGTTGCCATTTCCTACTCCAGGGGATCTTCCCCATCCAGGGATCGAACCGGTATCTCCTGCAAGTCTCCTGCATTGCAGGCTGATTCTTTACTGCGGAGCCACCGGGGAAGCCCAAGACTACCTTGGCATCGTCAGTTTCCCCACCTGAAACAAACGGGTCGTTATGAGGTTAAAAAGAATTAATGTATATTATAGAAAGTACTCAAATAGACTAGCGATACGTGTCACTGTTGCCGTTCCCATTTTATAGAAAGCAATATTGAGGCCCGGAGGGGACACACGGTCCCACTCTGATCGGGGAAGAAGAATGGGGAGGAGGAGGAGACGAAGTTAGGCTCTGTGGTGACTCCTGCCTGCCTCTCCCGCCACCCCTAGGCCGCCAGAGCCTGCGGTTGGTCATGGAATATCTTCCCAGCGGCTGCTTGCGCGACTTCCTGCAGCGGCACCGCACCCGCCTTGACGCTGCCCGCCTGCTCCTCTACGCCTCCCAGATCTGCAAGGTGCGGGGCGGAGGAGGGCGGGGCGACCGTGCACCTGCCGCGTCCACAGAGCTGGCTCGATGGGCGATGTCTGCATGGATTCGCCGGGAAGGCTGAGGGTTGAGGTTTGGGGTCTAGGTCAGGTTGGAAATGCGGTTGAGTTAGGGCTAAGGTCGGGGACTTCTCTTGTGGCTCAAACGGTAAAGAATCTGCCTGCAGTGCGGGAGGCCTGGGTTCCATCCCTGGGTCGGGAAGATCCCCTGGAGGAGGGCATGGCCACCCACTCCAGTATTCTTGCCTGGAGAATCCCATGGACAGAGGAGCCTGGTGGGCTACAGTCCATGGGGTCACAAAGAGTCGGACACGACTGAGCGACTAACACTTATATAGTAGGTCCAAAACAATAAGAAGGTGAGGACTGGAGTGCAAGATGGGTCAGGGGTAGGGTTAGGCTTGGGATCTGGGTTGGGGCTGCTGTAGAATTCCAGGTCAGACTTGGGGCTCCTACGGAGTCATCCTGGGGGTTCGCACCCCATGCCCGCCCGTAGGGCATGGAATACCTGGGCTCCTGCCGCTGCGTGCACCGCGACCTGGCGGCCCGGAACATCCTGGTGGAAAGCGAGACGCACGTCAAGATCGCCGACTTCGGCCTCGCCAAGCTGCTGCCTCTCGACAAAGACTACTACGTGGTCCGCGAGCCAGGCCAGAGCCCCATCTTCTGGTAGGGACCTCCTCCCAGCCCCACTCTCCCTCCGCACGGCCCGGGCCGCTCCGCCTCGGGGGCTTTTCGGTTCGGCCCTGCCTCCCGCGGGGCTGGGCCTGCTGTGGCCACGCCCCCATAGCCCTGGCTCCTCCCCGATCACATGCCTTTTCTTGCTCTGGCCCCGCCCCGGCCCCGCCCCGGCACCCTACAGCTTTGGAGCATCCTCCCATCCCACAGCCAGGGAAGCTGAGACCTCAGAACGGGCTGGGACTGACTTTCTCATAGCCACCTGCCGGGACCAGCCACCCCAGTCCAGGGCTGCTCCCTTTCCTGTCCTCTGCCTTACTGTCGCCTCCCAAGACCTCCCTGGCCCCCTCCAGGTACGCCCCCGAGTCCCTCTCGGACAACATCTTCTCGCGCCAGTCGGATGTCTGGAGCTTCGGGGTGGTCCTGTACGAGCTCTTCACCTACAGTGACAAGAACTGTAGCCCCTCGGCCGTGAGTCGGCACCCCTGGGTCCCCCAAGCCTCCTCCCCCTCGGGCCAGCCCTGTCCTCTGTGCTGAGGGTCACCCGGTCCCAGCCTCAGATGCTCCGGGAGGACCTCTTTTCACTGTGACTGGTAGCTCCCGCCCCTCCCCTCCAATCACAGGCAGCTGCCTTCCGCATCCGTCGCAGGCAACTCCTCCTCCCCGTTAGGAGGGCCCCCTTCCCTTACCACGGGTGGGTGAGCGCCTTCCTCGCTTCACTGTGGCTGGCCCCCACGATAACGGGCGGCCCCCCCCCTCCACGCTGGGTGGCCCCTCCGCCACCTCGGGCCCTCCCCTTGGCTCCAGGAGTTCCTGCGGATGATGGGGTGTGAGAGAGATGTTCCAGCCCTCTGTCGCCTCCTGGAGCTTCTGGCCGAGGGCCAGAGGCTGCCCGCACCTCCTGCCTGTCCTCGTGAGGTGAGCTCTGGAGGACCCGCCTCAGTTTCCCACTTTGTAGATTCACCGCGGTGTCTTAGGCAAGCCTGCTGATCCCTCTGAATTACTCTCCACCCAAGATATCTCTTGGTTGAGAGCAGGGATCGGGGAATGAGGCTGAAGGGGATTTCTGGCCCTTGCTGCTCTCTCACTGTATGGTAAAGCACAAACACTTTCAGAGCCTCAGTTTACCTGTCTCCAAAATGGGAATAACAATGCCTTATAGGGTGGGGGAGGACCAATTTGCTAACACCTCTTCAGTGCTCATCTCGGAGCCTAGCATACAGTCGGTGCTCAATAAATGATTCTTACAGTTTCTCATCAGAGCTTTTGTGGAAGTGTCTGACATGTGGTTGGTCATTCACAAATTAATTTGCTCAGGCCACAGACATTTATTGAGCTCTGTGCGCTGGGCTTTGTGCTGGGTGCTGGGGACCCAGTGGAGGGCAGAACAGATAATACCCCTCCTCCTTGTAACCACCAGAAGCTAACAGGAACATTCTGGTGGTGATCAATGTCTAGGAAAAGATGAGGGAGGCATAGTCAGGAGCAGCTTCCTAGAGGGGGTGGTGCCTGAGGGAGGAGGAGGATACCATCCAAGGGGAGAGCTGGGAGAGAGCATTTTCAGTGGCGCACACAACAGGTGCAAAGGCCCTGAGGTGGAAACGAGTTTGGTGTATTTGGAAAATGAGACGGGGGCAGATGTGGCTGCATGGAACAGGAGAGGAGGTGATGGAGGGGGTGGTAGAGGGAGGGAGACGGGAGGGGATGAAATTTTTTTCTAAGACCCATAGGGGGAGCCACGGGAGGCTTTGGAGCAAGAGCAGGATGGAGTCTAGTTTATATTTTAAAACTGCGAACAGGAGTCATGTCTTTTCTGCCACTCCCATGTGACCCTGTTGTCTCTTCTCTATCCCTCAGGTTCATGAGCTCATGAAGCTGTGCTGGGCCCCTAACCCTCAAGACCGGCCATCCTTCAGTGCCCTGGGCCCCCAGCTGGATGCACTGTGGAGTGGAACCCGGGGATAGTGTCCAGAGGCATGAGACTCTCACCTTCCCTGCTTGTCTAGAGGGAGAACACCATTCTCTGTCATTTTTCATATCTCCGGCACACAGACCTCTAGGCTCTGGTCTCCATGGACTTGCTGTGTGCCCTTGAGCAGGAACCTGCTCCTTTCTGGTCCTCCTGCTTCACAAGAGACCCCTCATAGAGTGCCTGACATTGCATGTGGGGGAGCAACCCTGGTTGGCAGGGCGACAGCAGCCTGTGGCTTTTTGAACTTGGAAAGATTCAAGACAGATGTCATGATGGGGTCTAATGAGCTCCATCCACTCCCCAGAATCAAGGGACCACATTTAAGGACCTTCCATCTTGCCAACCTCTCACGGTCTAGCCTGCAGCTTCATGTTCTCATTTTCAGAGGAGCCATTATGTAGCTTTAGATATGTCATCTCAGGCTTCTAGTCCCGTCTCCCTCTTTAGCTGGAGGAAGCCAAGGACAAGAGCAACTGTCCGGGCTGAAAAATCCACTCTTTGAGGGGGAGCCTGTGTGACTGTTTGGAACTGTGTAAGGGACCAGGAGAGGCTGAGGTCCCCAGGCTCTGAACCTGAGTGTTTCAGGGCTTCTGTAAACTGGGGCCCTTTCTCTCTGGACCAGAGGATCATACAGTGGACAATGGAGCCTAACAGGAGCTTTTCATCAATTGAAGGACGGAAAGGCATTCTTGGCAGAGGAAATGGCATGGCGAGAGGAAGAGGCTCGGAGTACAGGGGTTAAGAGCACAGGCTGTTGGAGCCCACAGCTCTGCCACTTACTTGCTGTGTGATGGTGGGCGAGTTGCTTCCTTTCTCTGGCTGCAGTTCCATCCTCTGTCTAATGGGCAAGAGTGTTGGCCCTTGGGCTCTACAGAGTCAACTTCTGGAAGATTGTGGGAAGGCATCTAGTGCAGGCTCAGCCCCCACCACTCCTTCATACCTGCCTGCAAGCTTTTTCTGCCACTTTTGCCTCCCTAGAAAACTCTTATTCATCTCTCAAAACCCCAGCTATCACCTCCTTGCAGCCTCCCCTGGGATTCTCCCACTACTCCCATTCAGCCCTGTACTTCCAGCTCTAGGGCTGGAGGATGTCTATATCCAGCTCTGTCTCCGCTGGGGTGGGCACAAAGAGGACTCTGGGAGTGTTCATTGAATGAATAAAGAAATTCAGTGGAAAGGATGGTTTGTTGCTCGACTTGGGCAATGGGAATTCTTGGGGATGTGTGAGCCAGGGAGAAATGTGATCAGAGTTGGGGGATAGAGACCCCGGGGGGCCGCAGTGGGAGCCTCAGGACATGCTGGGGGAGGAGGGACAGGAGGGTGAGGCCCTCAAGGACAGAAGCCCTCCCCCGAACCCCAGCTGGTGGCCTTGGCTCTGTCCTGGGGAGCTGATTACAGGCTCTTGGGGGTGGAGGGAACAGGCTGCTCTGGGGGAGATCAGAGGTCAAGGCCCTATTGGGAGGGTTAGGCTATGGAGATAGGTCCAACATTACTGGGGGCCACAGCAGCCCTCTGCTCCTCAGGACTGGATGGAAAGATTTGGAGAGTGACGGAGACAGAGACACAGAAAGAGACTTGGAGAAGGACCAGGGAGCTTGGGAGAGACAGACAGAGATCTCTGTACCTACTGTCATAGTCTGCTTTGATGAAAAGTGGTAGGGGGCTGCAACACAGGGTTTTCAGCTCAGGGTCCCCCCTGCACTGGGTTGAGTGACCTCTGTGCCTTAATTTCCCTCCTGGGTAAAACTGACACCCAGTAGAGACCTCCAGTCCCTGTCCAACCCAAGGAGACCCTGATGTGGAGGCAGAACCAACAAACACTCCCAGCCCTGGGGCGCAGCCTCTTGTGACCTTGGGCAAGTATGGGATCCCCTCTCTGAGCCTCAGTTTCCTTATTTGTACAGTAATAAGGATAACAAGATTCTGAATGTCTTTGGTCTCAGTTGGTTGGATGCTCACCAGCACCATCCCAGGGAATTATTATATCTAAGTTTATTTCTTCTCTTTAAAGTAGTTAAAAAAAAATACTCTTCAATGGTCCTGCTGGGAAAGATACACCCAGGAAGACAGACCATGGCCATTTTGTGTGGCTCTCAGCCTATCAACAGGTTTCCCAGGGGATGCTAGTGGTAAAGAACCCGCTTGCCAATGCAGAAGATATAAGAGACATGGGTTCCATCCCTGGGTCAGGAAGATCCCTTGGAGAAGGGCATGGCAACCCACTCCAGTATTCATGCCTGAAGAATCCCTTGAACAGAGGAGCCTGGTGGGCTATGGTCCATGGGGTCACAAAGAGTTGGTCACGACTGAAGTGACTTAGTATGCACACACACAGCCTATCAATAATCAATGTGGTGGTTGGACTGGCCCTGGGAGTTATTACGATTGCGAGAGCCTTTCAGCGATAACCATCAGGAAAGTTTGGAAAAATAAATCACACGGCACACCTGGAAATGACCCAGCACACCTGGGGCCAGGTTCTTGTAGAGAAAGCAGCGTTGGCCTGGGTTCTGCTTTTACTGGGGTTAGGCATGGGAGCCTAAAGCTTCGTGGGCTCACTCTTACTAATGAATTTAACAAGGGTTGGAGTTTAAAGCATAAGAAGAGAAGAACAAACGAAACAAAAGCAAAGCTAAATAGCCCAAGTTGCCCCAATGGAAAGAGACTGAAATCAGTCAAGATGTCTAAAACAAACGTGGAAAAAAATTAAACAAATGTGGGAAGAGGTGGTCCTGCTCTTTAGTCATATTTATCAGGGAGCCATGGTTGAAGCTGATTCCTGAGCAATCAAAGGATGTCAGGCACTTACATCATAAAAATGAGAAAACTCAACTATCAGAGGTTCCACTAGGCTTGCCCTGACCCCGCCCTTGACCTCCCTGAGCCATCGTCCTTTGGGAAGGCTGTGTCCCCGCTCCAAGGCTCCCAGCTGGGGCAGGCTGGGCGCCTATAAGGGGGATCCCCGCTGGGGCCCGGTGCCGCTCACCGCCATGGACCGTCGTCTGCTCACCTGGGCTCTGGTGCTGCTGGGCCCGGCCCTTGCGATCGCCCTCAGTCCTGCAGCCGCGCAGGAGGCGCCTGAGAAACTGTGTGGCCACCACTTCGTGCGTGCGCTCGTGCGGCTGTGCGGCGGCCCGCGCTGGTCTTCCGAGGACGGGCGACCTGTGGCTGGCGGCGACCGTGAGTAGGGGTGGGCGAGGACTGTGCACTGGGGTCTCCGGGGCGGGGTAGGGGTGCAGGTGTCTGCAGACGGATTTGCGTGCATGTTCTGGCTTCCTGCTCTGGCGTGTGCAAGTCTGCGGGGAGGAACCCCTGCCTGGCAAGGGAATCAGTGCGAAGCCAGGTAGAATCTTAACAAGTGCAAGGTCAGATCCGATCCTATCTTTATTTACAACTTCAACATTTTGCTCTTCAGGAATTTTTGCGTTAATTTTACTAGTAAAATATTCAGTTATAATAGGAGTGCTCTTGACTGTGGAGTGTTTCTGGCGCCCCCTTAAATTGCTTGCTCTGGGTCAGTGCCTAGCTCTCCTCACGGTAGACCCGGCCCTGGGGCACTGGGTATTATGCACGACATCAGTCACAGGTGTCCTATGTGCCTGAGTCTGTGTGACCGGGTGCAGATGGGTGTGCCGAGATGCACGTGGTGGGGGCGGGGAACTGGGAGGGGCTACGAGAGCAAGTGGCTGTGTCCAGTGTGTACATGCATGCGTTACATGCCACCCTTACTGTCTTCTGCTCTGGGAAGCCTCTATGCCTTCTTACCATAGGTGGCACGTGGGAGTGTGCACAGCTGGGGACTTGAGTGTGGGCGTGGGTTGAGAGTGTACACGTCTGGATGGGGTGATTCAGTCTGGGCCTGGTATAGAGTAGGCACTTAATAAAGGCTTACTATTTGTGTGCATGATGCATGTCTGGCTGCCATGGGGGCAGTGTGGGTGGGGTCCTCTCCGGTTCCTCCCTCTATGCTGAATTCCTCCCTGTTCCCAGGTGAGCTCCTACGGTGGCTGGAAGGACAACATCTCCTCCATGGGCTGATGGCCAGTGGGGACCCTGTGCTGGTTCTGGCCCCACAGCCCCTGCCCCAGGCTTCTCGCCATCACCACCACCGCCGGGCAACTGCCGTCAACCCTGCCCGCCACTGCTGTCTCAGTGGCTGCACCCGGCAAGACCTGCTGACCCTCTGTCCCCACTGAATCCTCTTGGAGCGTGGCCTTGGGGGAGCCTGAGACCCACAGGGGTCCAGTCTGGTGAACTCCTGATGCCACACAGCACCATGAAGCCCCACATCTAGGGGGATGTTGTTGATTACCTCCTAGGACAAGGTGCTCACCACCTCACCCAGGCCCCCTGTCCTCTGGGGGACCAACTAGGGAGAACACCAGACCCCAAATCTGGCTTGCAGGGTCCTTGGTTTCGCAGAGACGCCAGACACTCTTCTCAAATGTTCTCACCTCAGAGGAGCCCCAGGTGCCCCGCTCCCTGCCTTTAACACCCTTCTTGTTGTCTCCTCAATAGTAAATAAATAAGATGCCTGCAGAATCTGAAGCAATGTTGCATTTTCTCACAAGAAAAAGGGACAAGCCAAGGTCAGCCCTCATTTGGGGTTTTCCCTGATAGCTGCAGACACACCAACACTTCTAGAAACGTAATAACAATTGGAGAGTCATCACAATACACAGTGGGGAAACTGAGGCCAAGGGAGCTGGCTGTTTGCCTAGTTCAGACAGGGAGGGAGCAGCCAAGTTTTTCGAATCCAGGTCTCTGTCATGTCTCAAGCCTTAAACTCATGTGGACACAATACATGAATGTGTGAATGAGTCACAGTGGATTTTTTTTTTTTTGACGATGCTGCATGGCACGTGGGACCATAACTCCCCGACTAGGGATTGAAACTGTGCCCCCTCCAGTAGAAGCATGGAGTCTTAGGCACTGGACTACCAGGGGAGTCCCCTCATGGTGGATAGATTTTTAAAAAAACATTTTGGGGTGCAGTTGCTTTACAATGTTGTATTAGTTTCTGTACAGCAAAGTAACTCAGCTCTATGTATATCCCCTCTTTTTTGGATTTCCTTCCCACTGAGGTAACCACAGAGCTCCCTGTGCCATACAGTAGGTTCTTGTTAGTTATCTATTTTATATATAAGTGTATGTATATGTCGATCCCAATTTCCCAACTCATCCTGCCCTCGCTTCCCTCTTTGGTACCCATTCATTTGTTCTCTACATTGTGTCTCTGTTCCTGTTTTGCGGATAAGTTCATCTGCGTCATTTTTCTAGATCCCACATGTAAACAATATTATACAACATTTGTTTTTCTCTTTCTGATTTACCTAACTCTGTATGACAATCTTTAGGTCCATCCACATCTCTGCAAATCACACAGTTTCATTACTTTGTATGGCTAAGTAATATTTCATTGTATATATGTAGCACATCTTCTTTATCCATTCTTCTGTTGATGATATTTAGGTTGCTTCCATGTCCTGACTATTGTAAACAGTTCTACAATGAACACTGGGGTGCATGTATCTTTTTATGGTTTTTTTCCATGTGTCACAGTGGGTACTTATTGGTCCAACCCTCACCATTCTTTTCACTTGCATCCTCCCTTAATCCCAAGATGGAAATTATATGATTTGACCCTCTTGGGGAAAAAAAATGGTATTTGACTATGTGATCTGTTCACATGTATATTCGTTTCCTAAGACTGCTGTAATGGCCACAGATTGGGTGGCTTAAAATAGTAGAAACATAGCCTCCCAGTTCTGGAGGCCAGAAATCAAGGTGTTGGCAAGGTTGGTTCTTTCTGAAAGGCCCTCAGGAAGATTCTGTCCCCTGCCTCTCTCAAGTTTTTGGTGGCTACTGGCCATCTTTTTTTTTGGCTGCACCGGGCCTCAGCTGCAGCATGTGAACTCTTAGTTGCAGCGTGTGGGATCTAGTTCCCTGACCAGGGGTCGAACCCAGGCGCCCTGCATTGGGAGCTTGAAGTCTTAGCCACTGGGCCATCAGGGAAGTCATCCCCAGCTCCTGGCAATCCTTGCCTTGTCAGTGCATCTCTCCAAGCTCTGCCCCCGTCTTCACATCATCCTTCTTTCCCGTGTCACTCTGGGTTTTCAATTCGGTCTCTTATAAAAACACTCTCGTTGGATTCAGAGTTCACCCTAAGCCCACATG